CTAAAGGGCAATCCGATCTCACCCACTTCCACATCCCACATGCCACACCAACCCACATCCACACTCACACCCACACTCACACCCACACTCACACTCACACCCACACCCACACCCACCCACACCCCTCACCCACACCCACACCCACACCCACACTCACACCCACACCCACACCCACACCCACACTCACACCCACATCCACACCCACCCCACAATATTCAACTCGAATACGGGAATGTGCGAGTATGGTTGCTTGTTACAATTCATATTTATATAACAATCATCAGTAGCTACACCCACACTCTTCTTACATGACCAATAATCACAATCAATTTCATTTGTATGTTTTCAACTATTTAAATCATTATAACCAACCCGTGTTAATGCATTACAAATATTTTTTTTTGAAAATATTATTAATTAAAAGAATAATCATCAATAGCATGTAATAATGAAAGAGATTCATTATTATCATAATACTATAATCGATGTTTATTATTAGTTAAACAACTGAAATAAGAATTTTCATTATCTTTCATAGAATCATCCATACTTTCATCATATATACGATGTTTTGATATTAATCTCGATAAAGTTTTGCATTTATATTATGATGTTTCATTTCCATATTTATTTTTAGGTTTGATTCTCTTCTCTATTCGATATACGAGGGACGATGAAAAGGTCTGCCTCTTTAACACAACTACATTCATCAATGTCGATTGAATAGATATTTGCTTTCGATTGCGATAAAAATGAATTAAGCGACTAAATTTATTAGAATATGTGCGTAGAAGCTAATTTGATGAATAATTTGGTTAGTAATGAGTACATAAAAAATGAATTAAATGAAAGGCGAAAAGTAATTATGAAATTTTATTGCTAATATCTACTTATTAGTCAATTGAGACTTTTTCTGTTGCGCATCGACCAAAGTTTTCTGGTGAATACATTTCCTCAGCTTTTGCTGGTGGAACAGAAAATGTCCCAGCACATGTTGCACGTATTATATAACTCCATTCATATACACCAGGCCACAATAATGATCGGAATGCTTCGGCACGTTCATCTCTCAAATTTTCATGATCAGGCCAACCAATAGTGGAATGTGGCAGAAATCCACAACAGAAAACATCTCTTTTTGATCTTGATACTGATGATTCTGTATCTCCAGTAATTGTTCCTTTTAATTTTGTATTTAATGGTTCACAACCAGCCGGCAAATAATCAACTAATGCTATATGATATCGTCGTTGCGTTGTTGTCATAGTCAATATGACTTTGATTTTCTCATTTAATTTGAATTTCCATGTGCCATCCGATTGTTTCGTAACATGGGATGAATCATCAACAGCTATGTATGTTCGTTCAACTTTAAAACCAAAGTTAACCGCATTCAAATGTAGGTTTGATGGAGCATAATTCAATCCAATACGATAATATAATCGACCACTACCATCTTTATGCAAGATAAGATTCTTATTATTATCATCTGCGTTCGATGATGGCGACAAAAGTGCTTTCATTGGAATATTTACTACATGTGTATTTGTTGTTCGACCTGTGTAGATATGAAAATCTCAAATTTATCATTATTTTTTTTCTATGATCTCACCTGTATAATGATGTTGACCACAGAAATCTTTGTCAAGCCAAATGTTAGCAACGAAATCTGGTGTTTCTTTTTCTTTGATATGAAAATATTTATCCAATGCAATTAGTACGAAGCAATTTTCCTGTGTAGATTTCCATGCACCCTTCACTTTATGTGCTTGTAAACCTTTACATAATTTAGTACATAGAGTTGAATTAGGATCAATGCATAATAATGATTCCAACAATATAGCATCCGTGCGTCGATCCGAATGTAACATGACCGATTGACCATCATCACCATATGATGTAGTAAAATTAGCCGTTTCACTTGTTTCACTTACCTTTCCTTTCAGATGTTTGTAAATAGTTTCAATAATTGGTTTTTGAGCATTATTCTTATCCATTGATAAAGCTATTAATAACCATCCTAATGCTTCTAAACTAAGTTTATTAAATCCAGTTTTCTGAAATAATTGTGAAGCATCGTTTGCCACATTCTGTCCATTTTTCGCTCGGACATACAGTGCATAACTCATCAAACTAAAGCGAGTTGTTTCAGACCAGTATTTAGAGGATAATAGCCGATCAATTTCCTGTTCTATATTTTCAAGATATCTCAATGCATTGTTCAGCAAATCGTAGTCAGTAGAAAATACCTTGAAAAAGAATGTAAAATTTTAGTCATTGATTAGTTTAATTTATACAAAATTATAACTGTAATTTGATCTTTACCTTTTTCAGCTCTACAACAACTAGACAGTGAGCAACATGCACACTCATAAATGGATCGGCATTAGAATTGTACTGATTTGTCCAATAACCAAACCCACCATTTGAATATTGACGACCTTTGAGTTTCTTCATATCGGATTCTAATTTAGTTTTCACTTCGGATACTTCAGGTAAGTCTTTACTTTTAAATGCTTGTAAAACATCCCATAGTGATTGTATACCAAGCAATCGTGAACTTATTTGTTCTGAACACTCATATGGATATGTATAAAGTGCAATGATTGCATCGGTTAAGGATGCTAATGCTGTAGAACTTGTTGATATTGATAATTCACCGAATTGTGGAATTACATTTTCTGGTGCCTTTATCGGTTGTAAAATAACTTTTTCATCACACACATCACCATATGTTGCAAATGCTTCAGATGTTGCCGGTGTGAATACAGGTAAACTGAATTCAATGGCGTCGCCAAATGATGGAGATGTTTCATTGTTGACACTACTGGTTATGAATTGAAATCGAGCTGTACCAGAACGTATTGTTGATAACGGAAATATAAGAGCAGCTCGTTTATTTGGTTGAAGAGCAATAGAGTAACCAGCCATTTGTTGATTTTCTTGTGATGTTAATAGCTTAGCATTAGATGCCCGTAGACCAGCATGCAATTGTAATGGTGAATTAGTTTGATTTTGTAAAATAACCGAGATATGAGCTGTATCACCATAATTAAGAAATCTCGGTGGCGAAGGTCGAACCATAACTGGTAATTGTACAGTAAATGACATTTCACCTAAGCCATATTGTTTATCATTTGTTACAAGTGCCCATACGCGATAGCGTGTTAGATTATCCGGTAATTTAATTTCAGACGAAACATGTCCTGATACATCAGTGACTAATGATGGTATCCAACATGCTAATGGATTGAAGTTCGATCGAATAGATATTTTTTCCTCATGACCGGAACCTCCAAAGTTGCCGCCTTTTGCACTCATTGCGCGCATAGCCATAGGCGCTGCGCTGTAACAACATGTCTCTGCTGCGCTCAATAAAGTCTGGTTTTGTTGCATATCTTTCTTAAATTTTTCGATATCTTGCTTACTGAATAACAAACAACGATCTCTATCATGAAATTGATTGATATTTGCTACTCGGCTAGGATAAAATAAATCTAATGGATTAGTCATTTTATGATCAGTTAATGATAAAATTGCTTCATCAACAACAACCAGACAAACTTCGACTTTCTCTACAGGTACTTTATCGACATATTGTGAGACATCCACATCGATATGAATATTTGATGATGGTGTAAACACTTCATTTCTTTCCTTTGTATTAATCGAAACATTTAGTTTGTAAATGTCTCTAGATACTTCTATTGATTGTGAACCAGAAGCGATTGCTGGACGATTCGACGAGCCAATCACTTCCGTTTGTCTTGGAGCTGAGCCTACTAATTCTGCATGAACTGTGAAATTTGGTATCCAGTCCTTCGATATCTTGAATTGAACAGTTGTCGAACTTTGTCCAGGTTCTACCTGAAATCGTATTGGTTGTGAAACTTGACCGTCACAGTCAAATACCAGTAGACCGTTTGCTGGACTGAACGGAGCTAATATGAGTAGTTCACACGTGTCGTTAGGTTGATAATTCGGTGCATTTGGTACAATTTTGATTGTATCCATCGGAACATATTCGACTTTTTGCTGTTCCATTTCCTTTCCATAACCACCGCAGACGTAAAGACCATCGTAGAAACTCATAGCTGATCGTCCTTGTTCATCTTGGATAGTGTATGAAATATTGTACTCACCGCCTGGTATCAAACAGAAAAAGAAGATTTAGACTAAAAGTAGTAATTGGACTTACCTAATTTTGGTGTGAAATCAATGTTAATGGCATCTTTACTTGAACTAACAGAGGTTATTATTTGTTCATCTTTGACGTCTTCGTATATGACTAAACCGTTTTCATCTTCTTTCCTCTCTTTTCCATTTCCAACTATTTTGCATTCAACAACAATGTTATCAATTAAATTTCCATCAATATCTGTTACAATAACTTTGGTTGGTACGGGTTTATCTTTCTTTCCAAAGTATGTTGACATTTGAAATCCAACATAATAAGTACACGGATGGACGACGAATGGTGTTTGTGTTTCTTGTGTTTGGTTGTTTAAATCAGTAATAGCTGCCAGGGCATAAACTATTGTTGGTCTTGGTTCTTCTTCGATGCCATGGTAACTAATTTTTATGTCATGCATACCTTGATCGTTTGTTTTACCCTAAAAGAAAAACGATTTCTCAGCTCATGCTTTGATATTTGCATAAAAATTCTATTACCTGACAGTATTTTGTCGGATAGGATATCTTTTTTTCATCGCTATTACGAAACCAGAAGAACATCGGCTCAGCTCTACCAAATGTATAATCAGATCTATTAGCTGGCTTAAATTTGGTTGTTTCAGCTCGTATTGTCCACCGAACATTTGCATCATTCAAATAACCACCTGCAAACAATTTTCCTTGACAAGAAACGACGACATCTTGATCTATGGTTGGATGACAATAATAGGTTGTTGCTGATTGAATCTTTGATGAAACTTCATATTCTGGTCTTCTGAACTCTTGAATTTTGAACTGATGAGTATGACTATTTAATGAATCCTGTAAAGTGAATGTTACGTATCCATAGCCTAGTAATAATAGAAATGTAAACTCCAAATCTATGTGTTTATGTTTGCATTAGAAATGTACCTAGATTAACATTGTCAGGCAATGTAAATTGAATATTAAATGCACCGTAATTATTCAACTCGACTTTTGACTGCAGAAGTTGCTGACCGCGAGGATCCTGTACTATATAATCGATGGAACCTTGAACATAAGTTGGTAATCTTGCTTCGCCTTTTGTTTCCAGTAATCGCACATAACCTTTTATATGCACGTCTTCTTTTGGTTTATACAAACCTCGATCATTGAATACATGCCAAGCATAAGCATCATAGTACAATGGATAAGTATAAATATTTATTGACATACATAGATCATCATCTTTTTCTACAATTAATATTTTATTTCCTTGATCTTCTGCTTTGCTTGATTCTTCTTTTTCTATCAGGTATTTTTCAAGGGTACATAATCCTTGTTGATTGGTTTCTCCCTTTTTATTTGCTATTTGAACAGTAGCTTGGGTGACAGGTGCACCAGTCATCAATTCAGTAACCCATGCAGTCAATGTACCATCCGTACCTATAAAAAATAAACTGACTGATTCGATCAGTTAATTTTTGTTTTACGGTACCATTACCTGAAGAAACAAATAGGTCCACTGCTAGTCGTGTACATTGTATCCAGACAGATTTTATTTGTCGATATTGCCAATCGTGACTTTGACATTCACTCCATGCTTTTTTTGTTGGTTCAATTAGCAGAATTAATTGTCCTACTCCAGAGTTTTTATTTAGGTATTCCTTCAATGGAATTCTTATTTCTTTTGGTTCATCACGTTCACAATTCGTTTGTATTACTGTATTCAGCAACTCTTCGCCAGGTAATTTATTGTACCATGCTTGATCTTCCATGGTATATGTATATGAATTAAAACACGGCAAGTGAAGATCATAATGTTCTGGCTTTACTCGATTAATACGAACTGTTAATTCTGAATAATTATAAACCATAAATGGATAAAATGGTTCATCTAATACACCAGGATCTATCGTAACCATACCTACAGTAAAGTTTTCGTTTTATTAACAATAAATGTTTGTCGTGCCACATTACCTGTTGCACCCGATATGTCTCCAGTTAATGGTGGTAAGTCATGGACTTTAAATTGAATTGGTTTAGCAGAGAAATCATGTTCCAATGTTTGACCATGAATATCTTTTAATGATGTTGCTTCTATAAACAGTTTGTAAACAGCATTTGGTTTAGAATCATTGTGTATTGTTATTTCTCGGTCATTGTGTTCGACATGCTCAATGCCTAAAGGATAATATTTTCTTTGTTTAGAAAAACTAACACAAACATATACGGTATGTATTTACCTAAAACATTGACTTCTGGCTCAATCTTGAATAATGATTTATTAATTGTTGAATGATTTAATGCATTATTGAATGTGATCGACCAACTTTGGCCAGGAGCAGCAGTTCGTTGCCATGAATTTGTTTCATTTGGAAACCAATCAATTATTTTTAATGGTTCGTAAGTGTGAAAGCTAGTTGACCAATCAGATGTTGTCTTTAGTGGACCTTCTGCTGATGGACACTCTATAGGCAATTGAACTTTATATTCTGTTGCCTTTGATAAATCGTTTTTAAATGTAAATGCAACATATTTCTCATTATTTCCTTCATCGGCATTTATATTTGATTTGAATTCAATTTTTGCTGTTGCATCGTCTAACATTTCTAATTCTTGATTTTGGATCTCATTTCCACTACTGCTTACAACGCGTATATGCTTCAAAATGTCATTCATATTAATTTTTTGATTGAATAATAGAAAACATTTAGGCTTCAGTGTTGAAACTGTTCCACAAGGTAAAAAATCGAAAACTTTTGCTGTTGCTGTTGAAAATTCAAAGACGAATTCTTCCCCTAGTTTTCCTGAAATTAATAAAAGTACCAAAACTACGTATACAGAATTAAATGTCATCGAATACAAGATAGCTTTACCTCCGATAACTGATACACATTGTTCTTTGTTGACTCTTAGTGTAAATTTTGTCGAATATGGAAAACGATGCTTTGCTTCGAATTGAACTGTTTTCGTTCCTGTCCATCTCCATTTACCTTCAATTTTTGGTGTTAACGATATCCCTAGCTCTTCAAGATTCATATTTTCATCCAATGATGATACGCTAATCATTGGTTGATTAAATGTTAAGTTAACTGTTGGCAGTACGTAATCAACTAGTTCTTCACTAGGAGAATATCTTTCGATGATGAGCGGACCTGCTTCTTGTTTAGCTAACTGTTTTAATTGTTCAATGTCCAATTCAGAATCTTCTTTGCGTTCTGCTAAAGGAGCTGGAAATGGTGTTTGTATTATTTGAGATGTTTTTGGCGCTTTAATTGTTGCTTCGCGTTTGAAAAAATCCTGCTCATCTACTGTTTCTGCAACCAGTTCAGAGCTAGCCTTGCGAAACAAGAGTTGTAATTGATCAGACGTTAAGCTCTGTCGTTGTGTCTCATCGTCCAATGGTGCTACTTCAACATCGGCTGTTGCCTCATGATCTGTTTCACTGGCTTCAACAACATTAAAATGAAACTGATAAGATTTTGACTGTTCATTTTCGGACTTTCCCAGTCCTATTGGTTGTATTCGTCTCATCAGAGTGTACTGATAAAATGTATATATATTAGAATATCAATTTAATCTAGAAAGGCAATAGAATATATAATGCATCTAAATGTTTTAGAAATAGATGAATATCACAACAGTTAGCAGATTTATATGACTAAATTTATTATTTTCTATCGATGACCATGAGAAACTAATTAGATATTCAAGCATCCATGTGTTAAAATGTTATCACCATATCTACAATGCCACAATGAAGTGATATTGTTTTCTAACGTCTACACTAAGAGATAAATTATATACGTCTTTGTATGCACCAACAATGAAAGACATTTATTATACTTGAAAAGAACGTGCATGTTTGACATGTTGCAATGTTAATTATTTCCACATTGCCTCATTAGCTACTGCCATCTTTAAGGAATTACATATTAATTTAGTCGCTGTATACATTTTATGCACAATAGTGAATATTTCCCCAATCGATATTTTTTCGGTTCTGTTCTTTGATAAACATTTTGTCTAACTTATGGATTCATGCCAAGCTTGAAATTATAGATTAATTACTGAAAAAATTTGATAGGTATTGAAACTTAACACATTTCTTCCATCATTAGTGTAAAACAACGGCCTACATGAAGTGCTTCTCAATACGGATGTTGTGAAATAACCCACTGTAGTTTTGAAAAATTTTACAAAAATAATTCATTTTATGAAGATGTTGAAGCAGTTCGACGATGGATGAATAATAGAACTAGTGATAAAAATTTGATAAAGAATTACCTTTTTCTGATCGTTGCAAAGATATGATAATAGTGAGAGAATATCGTATTTTACATATAATATTCTGAAAGAAACAGAATATTATATAGACCATGATGAGTAATCATAGAAGCATGAATAAATGAGGCGAGAAAATTTGGGTGACAGACTAGAAAGAAAAGAAATAGCTAAATAGAATCTGCACAACATGTAGTTAACGAAAGAAAAGACCAATAGCTTAGACTCGAGTTGTGATAGTGCTACAGCGTGACATCTAGCGATACTAAACTGAAAGAAGTGTTTTTTAAGGATGATTTTAAATGACGAAGGCTAGAAGTTCCTTAGCGATACTTTGAGTCATATACTACTCGATGAATATTTTTCATGCTGATTAATCTAAGTGAAGGACTCTAGTCTTGTAAAAGAACACATGATGAGTGCTATCCTATATCCAAGATCTTGAATGTAATTGCTTGCGTCTCACTAACGAAGTATTGGTAATTCAAAATTCTTAATTTTTGATATAGTTGACTACCAGAGAACTAAGACTTGTACGGCTGCTCAAAGAATATAGCACGTTCTTATAGAATGTAAGTTTTTGCATGAGCCTTGAGGAACACTCTAACATCAAATAATAAAACAGATACAGACTCCTTTTTAATGGGGAACTACGTGATAAACAGTGATACGGCTAGTCCACATTTGATGAGATATTTACCGTCTTCATCCTGTGTTTGGTTGAGCTGTACAAATAATAATAAGCGCAAAAAAAATATGTTGTAAAACGATTGATTATAATGCAAAGAGTTTAGATATCTGAAATAAATAAAGACTAATATCATTTCAACGTTTTTTAATTTGTTTTTACATAAAACGGGTGTTTTATTTCATATATGAAGCCTGAGTAACTCAAATTATGAATCAGACTGAATTAAAAAGTTCCATAGGTGTGGATATTCAATCTGGTGTAAGAGATTTAATTATAGAGACTGATAAAAATCCAGGGATCGCAGCGGTATATGGTCCAAAATCAGGAAATCAGACAGGATATACTTTTAAAAAAATCAGGATTCATAAATTTTGTTCCAATATCGCTTCTTTGGGTTCAAATCTGCGTAAGAGTAGGTGCAACACTCATCTCTAGTTACGATTAAAAAGTAGTTTGCTCAGGTAAACACTATGATTTGTTAAAAAAGGAATTACTTGTGCAGGAACTCATGCTTTTATTTAGATACACACACTTTTCATCTTTTATTGTTTACTTTTTGTGCTTTTCTACTGTCATACTTTTATTCTAATTTGTTGTGCTCACTCTACATGTAAAACAATAGTGGATTTAGGGAGAGGGCATTTAGGGGATCATTCCATGTCGATAGAGCTAAAAGTTCTTTTCTTTCTGACAGAAAAAAACTTATTGTAGAGCTGAAACTGCTTGAATAGAGCTACAGAATACATTTTATGTTAATAATTGCCCCTATTCTAGCAAAACACCTCATATTGAAAATTCTCTGAACCCGCCGCTGATATAAAACAATTATGTTATAGCGATTTAGTTTGGAAAAATGTGCTTGCTCAATCAGACATTTTCAAACACCAAAATATAGTGTTTTACTCAAAATGCTTGCAATAATTGGAGAATACTGACAGAGTATGTTTTGTGGGCTTAAGAAATGTAGAACTACCAGTTTATTTTATGCATGGTGTGTTAAACGTATGCGATCAGCTGTGCTAAGGAAGAATGAAGTGGTATAAAAAGCCATTTTAATCGACAAAAACATGTTCAATATGTGAAAGATGTGTTTGGTTCTATTATGCCTATTGTATCGAATAAATAATCCTCATCTCTATCAAACACTAAAAGTACTAATAGTTTATGTACAGTAGCATTATCCAGAAATGAAAACGACATAGGAACTCCGTTTTTTATTATTCAAAGGGATAAAAGAGCATTAATACATGAAAAGAGTGGGTGGTTGGAATTACTATTTAGAGTGTGGGGTGTGGGTTTGGGTGTGGGTGGGTGTGAGTGGGTGTGGGTTTGGGTTTGGATGTGGGTGGATGCGAGATGTGGGTGTGGGTGGATGCGGGGTGTGGGTGTGGGTGGATGTGGGGCTACTAGTAAAGAGAATGAAAAACATCCACACGCCACACCCACACACCCACACCCACGCCCACCCACACCCATCCACACCCACACGATCCACACTCACACCCACATCCACACCCACCCAGACCCATACCCACCCACACCCACACCCACCAACACCCACACCCCCACCCTATATTGTTCATGACTATTATTGAATTCTGATGACACATTTCATCATTCACCACACTTTAAAAAAAAGTTAGAGAATATTACTCTTGGACGGAGTTGAACCGTCTATCTTTCGGTTATCAGCCGAACGCGTTAACCGTTTCGCCACAAGAGCTTGCATTACTTACTGTAAGTCGGATTTTAAAATGCCTCTGATTCGAAGCTCCGTCTTTCGTTGGTTGATTGGAGTGAAGTCACATGAAGGGATCATTTGTGTGTGAGCATTGTATGACACACGCTTAGCTTATTCGTCAGAGATATTCTAGTAAGATGCACAAGAAGCTCCCATTTTTTCTGAGAAGAATGTCTGTAAGTAAGAAAATGGCCTCAAAGTAGTTGCTAGAAGTCATATGTGATCCAATCAAACTGTATAAAGTGTGCATTATCGGTCATAGATCGATATGTGCAGTTGTGAATCTAAACAAACGATGTACTAAAAACTTATACGGAAGCCAAGCTCCTGTGGCGCAAAGGATAACGCGATCGGCTTGTAATCGGTGGATTGATGGTTCAAGTCCATCCAGAAGCGAATTTAAATCACATTTTTTTCTTACTATCGTAACATGTGACCACGATGCAGCACATTGTACTCAGAACAAGTGTTACCGTGGGACGGCTATTACATCATAGAAATGTGTGATTCACTTTCGCTTTAGTCTCACAAGCAGCATATCAGAGTGTGAGTATAAGTGTAATAATAATGACTCACATGAAAACCCACTTATTTATCAATCATAACAGAAGTTCCTTTTCGGTTATGTAGCTCGCAAAATTTCTTAATACACATACATACAAAGCTACATTTTTATTGTCCTTTTATTTTAAGAAAAGGTATGTAACACAAGTTTCACTTATTTTATGTAGCCCATAAAAAAAAATTCATATTGTACAATTCAAGGGGGAAAGTGCTAGTTTCGTGCACCTAAAATGCTGATAGGTGCTGAACAGGTGCTCAGGTGCTGAGCAGGTGTTGAGATGCTGAGAAGGTGCTGAGGTGCTGAGAAAGTGCTGAGGTGCTGAAAAGGTGCTGAAAAAGTGCTGAGGTGCTGAAAAGGTGCTGAGAAAGTGCTGATGTGCTGAGAAGACGCTGGACGAATACTGAGGTATTATTAGAGTTTAAAAGATATTATACGCTTTACTGTTATTATTATGATGGACTCAGAGCGATCTCTATAGATTCACTTGTGTATCCAATCTTAACGAACATTCTGTGTGCCAAATCATCTTTTAACCTATTTCTATCTGCTTTTTAACTCAACTTTACTGGGAAAAGAAACTCCTTGCCACGGTCTTTTGTAGCATGAAGAAGAGCTTTTGAGTTAAAAATTAAATAAAAATCTTCATGGCATATCTTACCTGACAACATTAACTCTTTATAAATTGGGATGTAGCAGTAGTTCACAGAAAAATTGGAAACTACCTATACGTTATGGTTTTCTGTGATAAATTCACCATCAACCGAATAGCACATATGTAGATCTCTTATCGTATGGTATTATTTATTTCAATGTAGATTGATGATCTGTGTATATTTTTCATAATAAATCTATTTATTTAAGATAAATATTCAATTTCTCATGCCATTGGTAATTTCTGAAAAATGAGACAGCAACAGTTTACCAGATGATATCTTTAGTTATAATCAAGATAAATTTCATGAATTTGTTGAATATTGGTATGGTAATGATCTTGCACCAAGGGAGAAAGTACAGGTTCCTGGCGACAAATTTGCTCTTGGATACTGAGCAGGTACTGGACAGGTGCTGAGATGCTCATACATATTTGGCATTAGACTAGAAATCAAGGTAATAGCTATGAAGAAGACTCAGACTATTCCGAATCCACTTTTTCGATCAAAACAAGAGTTTTTCGAGAAAATAACGATTTTCGATAAAACTTGACTAAAGGCTTTCGAAGTCAAGGAATCCGAATCTACAGTTGGTTTCTCAAAATTCTCGAGTTCATTTTTTTTCAATCAGTAGAGTTCTATTTCAAGACAGGCTTTCTCTCATCAAAAAAACAATCGAACTTGAGAATTTTGAGAAACCAACTATAGATTCGGATTCCTCGGTCCCGAAAACCTTTAATCAAGCTTTTTATAAAAAAATCGTTATTTTCTCGAACAAATCTTGTTTTGACCGAAAAAGTCGATTCGGAATAGTCTCAGTTAGGGGTGAGAAGTTATTGTTATTGGTTGTTGCTGATAACAGATCAATAACAAATCCCAATGTATGAAGGTACCCTTAGATGCTCATCTCCTATTATATGGAGGTACCCTTCGGTCCTCATGCCTACTACCTGAAGGTATCCTTGGATCCTACTATCTGAAGGTACCCTTGGATCCCTATACCCTATTATATGCAAGTACCCTTACGTGCTCATGTCCTATTATCTCAAGGTATCTTTCGATCCTCATCTCCTATTACGTGAGGGTATCATTAGGTCCTCAAATTCTATTATATACACGTATCCTTAGGTTCTCAAATGCTACTGTATGAAGGTACCCTTGGGTTCTCCTCTCCTATTATATGAAGGCACACTTAGATCAGTAGAGAGATGTAACAATCCTAATACTTCCAATACCAATACCATTTGACATTAGTAGTATTGATAGTTTGCAAAGGAATATCAAAGTTAAAAATTTCGAAAAACTAATGGTAGATTCGAATTCCTCGATCCTGACAGCCGTTGTTCAAACTTTATATAGCACTACTGTTTTGGGGTAGAAAAGCCCTTCCTTGATGAAAAAAATCAGAAACATAAAATATGGAAAGATTAATTTTATGTTTTTGATTTTTCATCAGCGAAAGGTTTTTTCATAAAGTTGAATCAAAGTTTGGTGGCGTTGCAGAATTCGAATCTATGATGAGTTTTTCAAAGTATTCAAGTTTGTCTTTTCTTTGCACACTACCAATGCCACCCATACCATTGAAAGTATTAGCATTGTTGCACCCCTGTGCTGACCTATTGGTAGCCTTATACTATAGTACTTGAGAACCTCCGAGTCTCTCCATGTAATAGCTCTGAACAGGGGTGTCGCGAGATCCTCAAGATTGAGGGGGTCGGTGACTCGGAAGGTCGACCGAAAAATTTTTGCTAAAACTCACTGGATTTCCGGGGGACGAGCGACTTTTAGAGAATCGGTGAGCAAAAAAAACAAATAAAATTCTGCAACTTTGCTGAAAAAAAAAACGAAAATTTCTCAACATTGGGTCTATAATAGGAGATGACTACCTAAAAATACCTCCATATAATAGAAGATGAGGACTCGCGGGTACCTTCGTATAGTAGAAGATGAGGACCCAAGGGTACCCACATATAGCAAGAGATGAGGAGCTAAGGGTACCCACATATAGCAAGAGATGAGGAGCTAAGGGTACCCACATATAATAGGAGATGAGGACCCACGAGTACCCCATATATTAGGAGATGAGTACCCAAGGGTACTCACATATAACAGAAGAAGAGGACCGAAGGGTACTTCCATATAGTAGGAGATGAGGACCCAAGGGTACCCACATATAATAGGAGATGAGGACCTAAGGGCGCTTTCATATAGTAGGAGATGAGGACTCAAGGATACTTCCATATAGTAGGAGATGAGGACTCAAGGGTACCCACATATAATAGGAGATGAGGACCTAAGGGCACTTCCATACAGTATGAGATGAGGGCCCAAGAGTACTCAAATATAACAGAAGATGAGGACCTAAGGGTACTTCCATATAATAGGAGATGAGGACCTAAGGGTACCTTTATTTAATAGGATTTGTTATTAATCTGTTATAAATAACAATAACAATAAATTCACATCCCTAGTCGCAGTCTTCTTCATAACTATTACCTTAATTTCCAGTCTAATGCCAAATATGTATGAGTACCTCAGCATCCACAGGTGCCGAGGTGCTGAGCAGGTGCTGAGAAGGTGCCGAGGTGCTGAACAGGTGCTGAGGTGCTGAGCAGGTGCTGAGGTGCTGAGAAGGTGCTGAGGTGCCAAATCTGCACTTTCCCCCTTGGTACAATTTTTTTATAAACTTTCCTCTAGGTTAACAAAAACGAAGCATTGAACTTATGCGACTAAAATTATGTACTGTTAAAATTTGTAAAATATAATCCTCATATGCACTAGCGTAGTTCAAGGTGATTGTTCATGCTAGTTACAGATTTAGAAAAACCAAAATGATCGGTTTTCTTCGTTTCTCTAAGATCTCATCATTCAAATAAATTAACTTTCAGCATTTTGATCAAGTATTATTGTGAAGCTTTAGAAAAGTATCGAAACAACTTTCGAATTCTTGAACGAAATTGAGTTTTGTAGGTTTTCGCTGGTAAAACAAAGACTATGAATGTTGATATTGATGGTAAAAATGAAGCATAATAGCCAATAAGATATAGCCAAGGTTCACGTGGTGATCTCATGCAGTCTTTAGTAAATGAAATGATTAAACGTGGCAGAGCCAATAATACCAAAGCAAAAGATCCGATTGAAAGATGTTTATGTCGGCGTATTTCTTTTATTAACTGTTCTTTGTATGTTGTTGCCGGTTGTAAGTTAGATCAATTTCGTGCTAGTGTTATAATTATAACAATAGTAGCTATCAAATTAATCGAAAATGGAACGAAAAAATGAATGAGTAATAAATATATCATAAGTATTGACATTCGATGAATATCGAGCTAAACACCAGATTCTATCTTCATCGACATCAAAATCATTGACAAGTGGACGATGAATTGGATCATGAATAAATGTTAATATTATGAAAAGAGACATACAAAAAATAATCCATTTAGCTAATTTTTTACTCTTTTTCGTGTTGAATTTTGTATTCTGAATGACATTCACCATTCTTTCAAAAGCTACTAATGCATTGAACCATTCACATGATACTAAAAGAATTTTAATCATAAAATCTAAGGAAATACAGCTGAAATTCAATAATGATCGATTAGTTAATAATAACATTTGGGAAATGATGAGTAGAATAAACTTGATTGTTAATATAATTATCATACATATTGAGCAAATTGATGATGTTAAAAGATAATAACCACAACCAACTTCTTTTGTTTTCTTTTGAGAGAAGGTTATTATTGAAAAAAATCCATTCACTAAACCTGAAATGAGAATAATCCAATTAATAAGAAGACTTATTTTTATAATAAATGGTTGTCGATTAAATATAATATTTGGTTTGATATGATAACTAAGAATAGGATCAAGTGAAAATATATAACTTTTTGTTGAAAATTGACATTTACTACCATAGTAACAATTTTTACATATACATATTGATTTTGTTTGACATGTTTGATTATTTTGAAAACATTGTCCATTATTTTCACAATAATTATAACCTTGACAATCATAATTTAATGTATGATTGAAAAGAAAACAATTTGAGAATCGATCAAGATCACAAATACACAAATTTTCTTTATCATAAAAACACATAAGTTGAGAATATTGTCGACATAGAAATGGATAATATTTTGTACGCGTAAAATATTCATAATTAACAAATGTTTTATTTAGAAGCTCTTCAATTGGAGAACAACGTTGTTTTGGTAATATTTCAGTATAAATTTGTTCTGTTGGTATAAATATTTGTGATAAAGTGTATAAATAAAGATGAAGTTATTGTTGTTATTGTTTCATGCAAACGTATTGTAATTTCATTATTTCTATTTTCACATATTTCACCTGAATAATTTTCTTTACAGAAACAGGTAAATTTTCTAAAACTAATTCGATCATCATGTGTTATACATAAACCATTATGTTGACATGGATTATTATTTGATTGACAAATCGAATTTTTTAAATAACATCGACGACCAAACCTATTTAATGAACAAACACATATAGATGAAATAAGACAAAATGAATCATTAGCACATGAACATCTATGTTAATGTATATTACATTTAGGACCAGAATATCCATGTTCACATTGACAAAAAAATAATGATTTATTATTTGTATATCTCATACATTGACCATGATTTCCACATGATAAAGAACATGATTCTCTATCTTCAATATCATGAATATGTAATCGAGTAGCTATTCGATTAACAGGTAAAAATGAATATGGTATTGGTAAATACCAACTAATCCAATAATTTAAAGTTATTTTATCAAAAGCATCAATACGAATTGAATAATTTATAGATAAATTTTTTGGACGATTTTGATAAAGTAAGTAAATATTATATTTAGTATTACGATCCCAAACAGGCATATATGTTATTTGCTCATGATCACCAACAATCTGTCCTTGTTCGTCTATAAGCATAATAATTATTCGAAAAATATTCATTAGAGATATTTTAGTGCGTAATAAGAATTGTAGAGTCAAACTAATACGTTGATTTTGCCATTGACATCTATTACCAAAATAATTTGGTGGGCAAAGACATTTTTTTGTCTGATTGACATCAGTTAAAACAACAATACCTTGATGACAATATCCAAGATATTTTATATTAATATTAGATAAAATCATTTTTTTCTGTTTGGTTTTAGTTATAGATGAAACAGAAATATTAATATTTGGTTTTGGAAAATAACCAGATCGTCGAGTAATTAAAATATGAAAATTTCTAAGTACACGTAAACCGTATCGTATGGTGCACAAGTAATCTTTGTTTCTTATAAGACAGACATCCAATTTAAATGAATGTTTTAGAAAATCAGTTTGTTGAAGGCACACATCATTGTGTTCTAATGATTTCTGTGAATGGTGACGACAAATTTTTTCAGATGTAATGCATTTACTGATATTCCATGAATAATAATATTCACTCAAATCATTTGTTTCATTGCCGAAATATAATTTACGCTCGATAGTAAGTTTGCTACAATTTTCGATTATATTATCAAACATATTAGTTACTGGTAAACAATAAGATAATGATGTTTGTTGATTGATACATTCATGTTTATTGAACTGGCATATTGTGTCTGAACAATTGAGTTCATCGATACCATTTGGACAATCCCATGCGTTGTTACAATGTGTATATGGAGTATCACATGGCCACCAGTCACAATTTTCTGCTGCGCGATCGTCTTCCCGAGAAAGTTGCCAATCCCGAACTCGATTCTTATTGCATAAAAATGGAAATGGTGTCAGTGCAACTGAATTTGTATGATATACATATATTTCGTCTTCTGCATCGGAACATTCACGGACGTCATTACCTACGGCAATTGGTGATAAGCATTTGTTTGTATATGATTTACATCTGAATCGCTTGGAGTCGTTAAATTGACAAGCATCGAATGTTTCATCTACATTATAATAAGAATCAGAGAAACCATCCTGAACACGATGATATGAAATGCATTTTGATGAATTACGACAGTGAAAATAGGATGAGTTTTGACATGATGTATCAACACCAGCACTATAACATCGTTTAGCCAAATTTGAGAAATAATCCATTACTTCTACGAAATCTTTCATAGTATCCATTTCGAAAAACTTAGAAATTTTAAAACATGTCAAATTCCTAATTATTTCAATAATGATGATATCAGAAAGTAAGACAGGACATTTTTCGGCCTGAAAACATACAAAATCATGTGCAACATTATTTTCATATTCGATGATTGATCGATTTTTTAGGTAGACGAATTGAAAAAAATGAACCATCTTTGGTTTCTTAGGTATAACAAGTCACTCTGATGAACAATACTTCGTTAAAGGTTCACAAGTTTTGTTTCTTACACCTTCAATAATGCATATTGATCCATAGGGGAACAGTCAAGTGTCACATTCACCTTTATTATTACAAAAACAAAATCTATGATCAAGCCATAGCAAAACAGCATGTGCAAATGCATGTTAAATCGTATCATGTTGACGGTATCTTTTTACTAAAAAGTATCTTAAATTCTATTAATGTAGAATGTACTACTTCTAAATTCTAGTCATTTTTTTTTTCATCTATTATAAGTTCCAAATCATGTCAATAAGCTAGTGGAATTAAATAAATCATGATTTTTAAGAAATCATTTAACAAGTAATATTCAATTTAAAGCTGTTGACCTAACTATTGAAATCCATTATCATAAAGAGTTATCGGTTAGTCTCATTAAACTGATAAAAACTATTTTGAATGTCAAATTTCAAATAGATCTCAGCTATTTTTCAAGATGATAGTTGGTTAGAGTACGAATTTTTCTTATTTATATCTGTACTTCAAAAAGAATTATGATATATTTTAATAAGTTTAGATAGGCTAATATCGATTTTTTCGGAATATCATCACTTCATCAATTCAATTTTGTCAAATTAATCATATACTCCCTACGACAAGTTAATGTATCACTACACATTGTTCTGACCCTAGGGAACATCTTTGATGTTTCCTTTCTAGATCTTTCACAGATCCATCAAGGATCTTGCAAGGATTCGCTGTTTTTTCCTCAGGAAACTAGGAAATCCTGAAGAAAACGTGTAGCCGTGAAATCTCAAGATCCTGCCAAGATTAAGAACAGGATTTAAGCAAGATCCTGAACAGTTTACAACCAGATTTAAAATCAAGAATCGAGCCAGAAAATCAGAAATCCTGAAAGAAACATGTAGCCGTGAAATCTTCAAGATTTGTGCAGCATTCAAACAAGATCTCAGAAGGATCTTGCCAGAATTTTGATGATTATCAATGAAAAAATTCTGTTGACATATTTCAGGATCTTAGTAGATTTCGTCTAGTGTGTTATCTTATTTGCTGACAAGATCTTGTCATGATTTATGAAGATTGGTTCAAGAATGTGATTAGATATCTTGGCAGGATCTTCGCAGGATTTTCTAAATAGAATATAAATGAAATGAACACATAGAGTATTGATCTCCAGACCTTCAGTTTACATACCGATCAGCTTACCCAGCTGAATGTGCCATGTCATTCTATATCACTTCGCCGTTCAATATCTTCATTTCTGACTGTAATGTAAACTTCTATTTAAATTTCATGTACATTGAAATTATTTCAAAAAAATTTTGAAAACGGAATATTATTTTGCATAATTATTTTAGTTTATGAAATTCTATCATTTGTTAATTAAGACTGATTCATTTTTCTTTTCTTTTCTTTTGCTTTTAAGAAAAGAACTATTCTTCTTTATATTTGTACGAAATAAGTATGAACGAATACTTATTTCATTTATAGTGCTTCATTGTCTATTTCTTAAATAAACGAAAATATTATTACATAATCTCTTCAAATAAAATAGTACAAATGCATATCCTTGTCTTGGATGACACAACTCAAGTATATGGTATAACTACTGAAAAGGTCGACGTGTGTCATAAATCATTTCGTTCATACGATATGGCCTTTCTGTCAATTATTATTTCTTAATGTTCTCTCTATTTGCTTCTCTCTTCTAAATGATTGTGTCGTGCCCTCTTTCTTATTCTGTCTCTAGTATATACATGTGCNACACCTGCCCACACACACACACCCACCCCCTCTCTCATTTTAAAAATTTTTTGAAAATTTTTGAAAACTTTGCTAATGTTTACATAGTAGAGGTGTGAAAATTGAATGATTTTAAGATACAAATTTGCTTACCTCTTATTTAGTAGCATAAAAGTCTCGAAATCCCCTTGAAAATCCTTTCAAAAAACTCTTAAAACCTCAAAAAATCCTTTCAAGTATCTAGAAAACTATTGGCACATGCAACTATTAAAAGATAGTGGGATCTAATAGAAGCTTCTTACAAACATCTTGAATACTTGGACACTTTAGAGGCTCCGAGGGGCTTCTATTATGGGGGCGAGTTTATGTTAGAAGCAATAGGAGCAATATTGAATTTCCATTTATCAGAGCATTAGAATGTGTGCTTTTCGTCTTTAAATTAATGCGGAAAAAAGTACCATCTGTGTATTAGATATAAAAAGCGAGAAACCTTTACAATATTGCTTCATTTCAACACAAGCTATGATTAGAAGTGTCATCTGTTATTTCGTTTTCGTTCTTCTTAGGTAAATGCCATTGATTTTTATTTTTTATTCTTCTAACATTTATCGGTTTTCTATTCTAGCGTTACAATCACTACTCAGCAGTTCGGTAAGCTTTATATAAACGCGTCTTAACTTCACTAGATGCGAATTTTAAATCAGATATATGCAGTTATTTTGCATCTAATATTAATCTGCATTAGGAGTTGCACATTACTACTGCTGATGATAAGTAATAACTAGTGATGTTATTACTTATTACCAGTAATAAATAATAACTCCCCCCCCCCCCAAAAAAAAAAATTAATAAAGTAATACACAAATAAGATAGTAGAATTACTTCTAATCATTGATTAGATTTCCAATACTTCATTAAAGCATTATGGTATCGTGAGATTTCATTTTCCCAACATAAAGTGATCTCAATATTTATATACAGGCTCTCGCTAGTGCATACTGCACGGCTCCTTTCTCCTTTAACATATGACCGCAGACTTTTAACTTTTAATTCGGTAACAGACATACAGACACTCGATATTATCTATATAGATAGATAGCCCTAAGACCTCATACTCTTATATTGCACATATTTTTATAGCTCAGGTAGCTTTGCGACCTTACAGCCTTACTCCTTATTGCCTTACTCTCTTCAGGGCCTATAAGGACCTATGGATACATCATAGGATAGTCCTTGAGAACCTATGTGTACCCCATATAATAGCTCTTGTAGCCTTTCCCTTATAGCCTTATTTGACCTTCAACCCGGCATAGACAGACACATCCACACTTACATACTAAACAACAAATATATAGATGTGAAAAGAGCGAGAAAGCTAAATTTCTTCAATAAAAAAGCATAGAAGCATATTTCACACATCATTGCAGCAGATTGGAAACAGTTTTCTATCTTAAAGTCGCTGTTTTCTTTTTACTCTCTGTATATGCATCTATATGAATTGTCGCACAGATAAAACATTCCGATGCAGACGTAAAAGAAAATAAGTCGATCGCGATGACTTTAGTAACATGGTGGAACTATTGAAGAGAAGTAAGATTGAAGTCTATTTAAATCAATTCAATCAACACCCGATAAGATTTGATAAAGTCATCAGTTATGCCGTCATGAGTTAATATCACTTCTAGTTCTTGTATGATGAAATGTGATGGCTTTTTACACTCTTGATTCATCGGACTTTGGTACTGAAAAGCAATAAAATATTTCATGCTATTGTTCTATCCACAGACACTCCTAGCGACATAAAATTTGATATTGAGTCTCGACTAATTTTTAGATAGAACTATTTCATTTTCATTTTAACAACTAGTATATCTATCTCATTTGGCAATGTTATCTTGATCAATTCTCAGCTCACAAATATTTATATCATATATCATTTCAGAACTGTAAAATGTTTCTTTTTTTCACTCGCTCCAGTAGTCAATTATAAACCCGTAAGAGTGTAATCGTGACTGCTAGTTCGACATTTTCGTTTTTTGCTATATTTTCACTGAGATGTCTTTTGTATTGGATTCTACCAAAAAGTCAAAGAAGTCAGATCTATGACAGTAAATGGTGATTACTAAGTTTCACTTATTTTGAAACTTCAATCAAACGTATATTGAGTGCCATATGGATGTTGTATTAGGGGTGTACCGCTCACGCTCATGAGCGCTCATGAGCGTGAGCATGAGCGGTTTTTCGCTCACGCTCACGCTCACGTGAGCGAAGATACTCTTGGGTCCTCATCTCCTATTATTTTGAGGGTACTCCAGGGTCCTCATGTCCTATATTTTGGGGGTACCCTCAGGTCCTCAAGTTCTATATTAAGAGGGCACCATCAGGTCCTCAAGTCCTATATTAAGAGGGTACCCTTAGGTCCTCAAGTCCTATATTGGGAGGGTACCTTTGGGTCCTCAAGTCCTATATTATGGAGGTATCCTTGGATCCTCAAGTCCTATATTTGGAGGGTACCCTTAGGTCCTCAAGTCCTACATTGGAATGGTATCCTCAGGTCCTCAAGTCCTATATTATGGATGTACCCTTGGGTCCTCAAGTCTTATATTTGGAGGGTACCTTTAGGTTCTCAAGTCCTATATTTTGGGGGTACCCTTGGATCCTCAAGTCCTATATTAAGAGGGTACCTTTCGGTCCTCAAGTCCTATATTATGGAGGGTACCTTTGGGTCCTCATGTCCTATATTTTAGGGTACCCTCAGGTCCTCAAGTCCTGTATTAAGAGAGTACCCTTAGGTCCTCAAGTCCTATATTTTGGGGCTCCCTTAGGTCCTCAAATCCTATATTATAGGGGTAGCCTTGGGTCCTCAAGTCCTATATTAGGGGGTACCCTTAGGTCCTCAAATCCTATAGTATGGGATTACCCTCAGGTCCTCCAGACCTGTATTGTGGGGCACCCTTAGGCCCTTTCGTACTATATTATGAAAATTAATTGCAATGCCGTAGCGAAGTATATTAAGGCACGTAGAAGGTAAACTGGCTTAGCCCAGCTT